TATATTTGTATACTATAATTATACAAAAAATAATATTAATCAAAACTTGCTGCTGTGGAAGAATCACGCAGCACAAATGTAAAAAGTGTGCCAGTCATTTATGAACAGAAACTGAAAACTAGCTCAGTCATGAAGGGGTTAATGCCCCTGCACACAATTACTCTTTAATCCTAATACAAACTTCTTTAAACTCTAGCTTCATTAAATTTTTTTGTAAAACTGCAAATCTGAGGACTTCTGTTAAGTTATAACAGGTAAAACTCTGGGATTTGTGACTGCAGTAGGCATATGGGGTTCATTTCAGCCTGTAGCAGAAATTTATTTTTTATCTTTTACCCGCTCTCTAAAAGTGAGACATTAAAAAAAAAGCATCATATGCGCAAAACCTTGCATGAATATGTGTTAATATTAGGGATGTACCATGTACCCATACCGGTTTTTCGGTATCTAGTAAGAGTACCGATTTTAATTTTTTTGGTGGTACTTGCCGATGCAGAGTACCGGTGCATTGTGCCCTGCTTATCAGGAAGTAGCCAGTGGATCATGACCAGTCGCCCGGCTTCCTGATTACAAAATCTAGCAAAAGAACACCAGCTTCACTTGCTGAGGGTCCCTGGCTTCCTGAACAATCAGGAAGCCGGGAATGCGAGTCATGACATGCCGTCCGGCTTTCTGGTTGATTAGGAAGCCAGGCTGCCTACCAACAAGTGAAGCCGGCTTCCTAGCCAATCAGGAAGCCGGGCAGCACATCATGTCCCGGCTTCCTTATTGGCTAGGAAGCCGGCTTCACTTCTCCTAGGCAACCTGGCTTCCTAACCAATCATGAAACTGGGAGGCGGGTCATTGTGTGCCGCCAAGCTGCCTAGTAACAAGCCAGCTTCCTAGCCAATTGGGAGGCGGATCATAACCCACCACCCGACTTCCTGATTGGAAAGAAAGCTGGCTCCATGCTCCCTTGGCACTACCAGCCAGAGGGAGATCTCCCTCTGACCCAAAGTTCCGGTATCGATTGTAGGTATTGGAGCAAATATATGTATAGTACTCGCCCAAATACTTGGTATCGGCATCAATACTGATACTAGTATTGGTATCGGTGCATCCCTAGTTAATATGCATACATAACTATACATGCTTATTACCACATCTGAACATTTTTTAAAAGGCCCTAACCAGCTTGCTTGAAACTGTAGTGGAGTTGAAAAACCATTTAAGAGCAAACGTAGCCATTCAGAAACCGGGTTTTTGTTATGACCTAACTTTCTTTTTCGCACATTAACACTTTTTTTCCCCTCTCTCTTCTCTCCCCAGTGTCTTCACTGTATTTCATTTTCTTTTAAAGATGAATTTAATTTTTTAACTCTTATTTTCTGCCACTGAAGAGAGCCACACAGAAGATGCTGGTTCTGGCGCAGAAATAGAAGAACTGATGCGTCAAGGAGGAGGCTCGCTGCTCCACTTCCCTTCCAGATATGTTGGCAGTCCAGGACAGTGGATGTTCTTCCTGCTTTCTGTAAACTGAACACTACATATAGATATATACTGTATATATTTTTTCCTTTTTATTTTTTAGTTTCCCTCCCCACATCTCCCCCCCTCACCCCCCCACCACCCCTCAAAAAATACTCCAACTTCATATTTTTTCCAATATGTAAGATTTTAGCTGTACGTTATTTTTTCTATTCTATACGAGATGGACAGAATAAGCGTGTTACCAGGAGAGGCATCTCCAGCACTCTTCTGTCTTTCCAGCTTGGATGCCCCATTGCACCTGTCTCTCCTGTCTGCACTGACAACGGAGCAATGCATAGTTTACTATGATTTTTAGGTCACTGATCATTCAGGGCTAGAGAAGTGCTGGGATCTTGTAGTATTTTGCACACAGATCCACAGTGGAGGCCTATCTTGATTTTAGTATATGCCAGCTCCGGAGCACCAGTATAGGAAAAGGTTGTTTTTTTTTTTGTTTTTTTTTAACAGAACAGGCGGCGTTTGCCCAAACAGCCCTAGCTGTTGCAGCAGTTTTAGTTGTAGGTTAATAATGTATTTTAGTAGTAGGTATATTGTTGGGTATCCCCCACTGTGGCTGCTAGTGATTTGATGTTTAACTCATTTGAAACAAAAATAATTTGTTTTTAAAAAATGCACAGTTTTGCATCTTGCTCCCTGCCCTTCTGCAGTAACTATAGACTGAGATGGCTGCTTACTGACTTTTGATGAAGACTGTGAAGGTGCACAAGATATTTTAACGAGGGTTGTACCAGTTAGTTGGGAGGGTCCTGGCTGGTGGGATACTGAATGTTGAAGCTCCTGTCTCCCTCCATGTCCTGGACAGTGCCCATCTGCACCACTAGATGGTGCCATGGAACTAGATCTTACCCTCCAAACTGTTTCATATTTAACAATGTTTGGTTTCTTAATTTATTTACAATATATTTACTTTCTCTTTTTTTTTTAATTTGTGGTAACTTTTATTACTTTATAATTTAAAATAAAAAAAATGCAAAAAAATTATTTTGGGGGGGAAATACGCAACTTTTTTGGGGGGGTTTTGTACTTCTGTGTAAATATAGACTTTTTTCAGCTTTAATGTGTTTGTTAATTTGAGGTAATAAAGTAGAAAATGATAAAGTGGTTAAAATAGTGTCTGTCTTATTGCTAAAGTAATTCAGATCTAAAACCTGTAGCAAACTTAGATTCCTATGTCTTGATATAGGAAAAACATATCTAACACTAATTGTGTGGAATAAGTAAAAATAAATGCTCTAGTCTAAACCAAACCATAGGATGCAAAATATCTTATTCCAGTCCTTAACCCACTAGCAAAATTGTGCCAATTCCAGAATGAGCAAGGTTGGAGATATTGCAAAAAAATCTTTAAAAAGTGGATGGGCATGTGCAGGAGAGGAATGTGGAGGGTCTGACATGGTAGAGCAAAGAAGTGGAATATATGACCACTGGTATGTATGAGAGAAATCTGAAGACTGACATGGGGCAGTATGTGCAGAGGAGAGTGAAAGGTATAGTATGTAGAGGAGAGGAGTACGGAGGGTCTGACTGCAGGCAGTGTGTGCAGGAGAGGCGTGCAGAGGGTTTGACGGCATGCAACATATCAAGAGGATTGAGGAGGGTATTAGAGTGGGCTGTCGTTAAGAAAAGTAGTGTATGTGTGGGGCAGTATGTGAAGGAGAGCAACGCTTGCTTTACAGCAACATATAGAGGATTGCGGTGAATGACAGTCCACTGATTGGTATCCTAATTGACATGCACTGCAGGATGGCTGTCAGTTACAGCTCAGCCCTGCACATAACCCTGGCAAAGCAGCTGTCCATTGTAATGTACAGGGTTGAGATGTTTGTTTTGAAAGCCATCCTGCAGATGCCACTATCATAGATGCTATCATAGTGGGCGGAGCAGCTTCACTGAAGGAGCGTGGGACATTTGCGGACACTTGGCATGTGGAGGTGTCATGGGAAGGGGTGTGGGACACTTGCAGGAGAAGAATGAGAGATGTTTGACGCGTGGAGGTGATAAAGCTCATAATTGAATTCAATGTTATTGGGCACTAGAGTGGAAGTGGCAGGAAGTGTAAGAGCAGCTAAGTGTTGGATAACGGGAAGGAATCACAACTGGAGGCAAAATCAACCTCTAACTTTAGGCATAATCTTTAGAGGGATAAGGAAACTATGCAGAGAAAAGGAAACTGAGCTTTATATTAGCAATATATGCAGTATATATTTATCATTTTATATCTGCTTGATAGCTAAAATAAAGCAATGTCAAATCCCGCAAGAATTAAAGTTTTCATATCAACTTACCCAGACCGTTTGTCTTCCATAGGCAGCTAAACCCCAGTGTTTTATGTATTTTGGTTGTTCAGAGAATGGCATTTCCTGAAAATATGGACCGTTTTTAACAGCAAAAACATAACATTCACGGTTTCTCTCAATATTGGTCTGTGAATTCATACTGCATAGAGCAGGGGTGCCCATTAGGTCGATTGTGATCTACCAGACGATTACTCCCTCCCATGGTTCTAGTGCAGTTGAATGTGTTGAAGGTGGCCCATCACAAGATCTAAGCTGCGCCACAGCCCGGGCACAGTGCTGTAATCCTTCTGGCTAATAGCTTCAGTCAGTGTCTCCCAGATAGAGTGGCAGGAAGCGGAGGAGAGGCTGAGCAGGCTGCCACCCGGTCTATGGTAAATCTCATCCAACACCGCAAACGTGGAGCACATTGGGACCACCAAGGTACCGTAATCTGTACACAGCCCTGCCTCCATGCATCAGCAGTCGTTATATATTATCTTTTTCATCTTTATTTATTGCACATGATACTTTCCAGTCTGAGGACCTGTTCACACCACTTCCAGTAGTGCTTTTTTTGCAATCGGAGCGGACCAGAACGCAGGCATTGCTGTCCCATGCATTCTGGTGCGGGCAATCACACTGCGGATGGGGAGGGGAGGGGGCGTGGCTGTGGTGCCAATGTCTTGAATGCGCTGCCATGACCCCGAACGCAGGGAGCCTTACAGTATGCAATCTAGTGCATTCCAGCAGCTAACTGTAACGCACTGGAAGTGGTGTAAACGGGCCCTGAGAGTATGATGTCACCTGCTTTTCCAATTTCCTGGCAAGTGTCATTTAACCAGCCCTTGTGTGTTCATTGAACAAGCTGGCTAATCCCATAACTGTTAGCCATGAGAGAGAGTGAGGAGAAACAACCAGGAGAGATGGCAAGGAGTGACATCTTCTGTCACTGTGTATACACTGAGTGGCCAGTTTATTATGAGCACCTGACGTTTGTAGGCTAATTAGCTAAACGGTGTAGGGGGAGACGCCGGCCGCTCACGGCTCTCTCGTCCTGCAGCGCTCGGCCGGCTGTCACTTTCTTTTCTCCCCGCTGGAACAGCGCCCAGCGGGGAGAAAAGAAACCAGGGGTGTGCCGATGTATCGGTCGAAACATGGCTCTTTCGGCATTATGCCAAAAGTGCCATTTTCGGCTGATGCGTTTCGGCGGCCGATATATCGGTGCATCCCTAATAAATAGGGAAGCAGGTTGTTTACCACGACAGTAAAAGTGAAGATATTTCTGAAGATATGGCTAAACAACGCGATTTAACAGCCTTTGAACGTGGGATTAATGTTGGTGCGAGCCATGGAGTGAGTATCAGCAAAACCGCAGAATTCGTTAAATATTCAAGAGGGGCTCATTGTTAAAGTGTTTAAGACTGGACTGTCAGCTGAAAATCTGGGTCTGAACGTGCGAATTGTGGCCGTCAGCGGTCATAAAAATCTGGCCACTCAGTTTATGTATGTACACTATTTTGCCAAAAGTATTATTGGAAAACTTGAATCTAATCACTTCCATGGCCACAGGTGTATAAAATCAAGCACATAGGCATGTTTCTACAAACATTTGTGAAAGAATGGGTCGCTCTCAGGAGCTCAGTGAATTCAAGTGTGGTACCGTGATAGGTTGCCACCTGTGCAGTAAGTCCATCTGCGAAACGTCCTTGCTGCTATATATTCCACGGTCCACTGTCAACTGTTAGTGGTATTATAACAAAGTGGAAGCAACTGGGAACAGCAGCAACTCAGCCATGAAGTGGCAGGCCACGTAAAATGGCAGAGTGGGGGGTCAGCTCATGCTACAGACCTCCAAAATTCGTGTGGCCTTCAGATTGGCACAACAACAGTGCATAGAGAGCGTCATAGAGAGCGTCATGAAATGGGTTTCCATGGCCGAGCAGCTGCATCCAAGCCTTGCATCACCAAGTGCAATGCAAAGCGTCGGATGCAGTGGTGTAAAGCACGCTTCCACTGGACTCTAGAGAACTGGAGACGTGTTCTCTGGAGTGACCAATCACGCTTCTCTGGCAATCCGATGGACGTGTCTGGGTTTGTCGGTTGCCAGGAGAACGGTATTTGCCTGATTGCATTGTGTAAAGTTTGGTGGAGGGGGGATTATGGTGTGTGATTGTTTTTCAGGGGTTGGGCTTGGCCCCTTAGATCCAGTGAAGGGAACTCTTACAACATCAGCATACCAAGACATTATGGACAATTTCATGCTCCCAACTTTGTGGGAACAGTTTGGGGATGGCCCCTTCCTGTTCCAACATGACTGTGCACCAGTGCACAAAGCAAGGTCCATAAAGACATGGATGAGCGACTTTGGGGTGGAGGAACTTGACTGGCCTGCACAGAGTCCTGACCTCAGCCCGATAGAACACCTTTGGGGTGAATTAGAGCGGAGACTGCGAGCCAAGTTTTCTCGTCCAACATCAGTACCTGACCTCACAAATGCGATTCTAGAAGAATGGTCAAACATTCCCATAGACACACTCCTAAACCTTGTGGACGTCTTCCCAGAAGAGTTGAAGCTGTTATAGCGGCAAAGGGTGGGCCAACTCAATATTGAACCCTACGGAGTAAGACTAGGATGCCATTAAAGTTCATGTGCGTGTAATAGACATATGCGATTAGTTTCAGAAAAATTTGTTTTTCGGACGAATTTTCGTGATTCTGAGATTCAGATGTATCCAAATTTCTGGTTGACAGAAATGAATGAAAACGAATCCGAATTTCCGAAAACGACATTTCGGACGAAAATTAGTTAGCGGCAGTCTATACGAAATTTCGTTTGTGGACGGATTTTCGTTACAGTAACGTGACATTTAAGAAAAAAAGTTTAATGTCACTTTGCTGGAACGAAAACAAAACGAATGTTCGTACAGACTCCTAACGAATTTCGTCCAAATCCCAAAACGAATTGACTTTCAGACCCGAATCCCGAAAAACTAAATAACGCAAAATCTGAATCAAAACTAAACAAAATTTTTGCCAGTGCACATGTGTAGCGTGTACAGGCAGGCGTCCCAATATTTTTGACAATGCAGTGTGTATATACACTGAGTGGCCAGATTATTATGACCACCTGACGTTTGTAGGCAAATTGGCTATAATTTCGTGCTGAAGTTGCTAGAGGGTCAGACCATTATAAATAGGGAAGCAGGTTGTTTGCCACGACAGTAGAAGTGATTTTTTTTTCTGAAGATACGGGTAAACAATGCGATTTAACAGCCTTTGAACGTGGGATGATTGTTGGAGCTCGGATCCATGGAGCGAG